GGATAGAGGCATGGCAAATGTATCAACAGTCTACAACAAAACAGAGTTGCAAGTGACCTACATAACGCGCATTACAAAGTGCAGTAATAATATACTTTCAAGCATACGAGTCGAGCACGTTATCACCGTGCGAGACGGGGTACATACGGGGCACCATCGCCATACGATTCCTACACATCACCTGACGCCACCATATTACTATCCTCAACTTATTTACACTACTCATACAAGATTTTATTACATCTGCCACCTCTTCACAATCTTCTTACACCGAAGGCCAACGACTAGTACGCGTGCCGAGTTGACCGATGTTACCGACTAATCTTACAAAACACGTGTAAATCAAACTCTACCTTTATAATCAACTCGATCTCCGGGACGTCTCCGTTCGCTGTTCCATTCTCGGCAATTTCATCCGACATTGTGAACTCCAGAAACACTTGATTTGTTGAAAAAAATACTTTTCGCACTCAATTTACACACAACCGACACCTTTCCAAAACACCGACAGACTGACTTCAGACCAGTCATTTCGTTCGTCATTCGATTTACGTCAAATGGCTACTGCAGCTAATTTCAGGTCGGTTCATTGACTTTGTACAAGGTGTATTGCGCACTAAGTGTAGAATCTGACAAAAACCACAAAAACTAAGGAAGATAAACAAATAGCGCTAATCGTGATAAATAGGGATTATGTATAATCGCACAGCGAGTGTTGATGGTTGAGGCGATCAACTTTTAAGCGAAGATTAAAATGATGCGCTCACTTGAGAGCTCAGTCTTCTCTTACCAAATCTTTGATTATTTCTTTTGTCATTATGACACTAATGACATGACATTAAGTCAAATGTCAACTTGTCAAATGAAAAAGCGCGGGAAACGGCGAACTGAGTAGGCGTCTTTTTTTGGCTTTTGTAAAATTAATTTGAATTAAGGATCAAATAAGTGGTGTATTGTATATATTTTGTTACTTTTTATCTGTATTTACGTAGTTTTTGTGTAATTTCATCAGTTATTCGGTAAGTCATTGCATTTTGATTTTTTCGTGATGTGTGAACCTGACGACCCTGGGGGAGGCGTAGTCCCCCAGGCGTCCAATTTTGTTACGATTTCTAATAATTTAACCGATATGGAAACCGATGGATCATTATTTGACACGGATGGGTCTGGAAAGAATGTAAATTCAAAGAATAAACGTAAACGTTCCTCTGTGCATAAAGTTTGTAAACACTGCAACAAAAAACGGAGAAGGAATCGAAAATCTAATTTAGGCGGCACTGCTAGTGAATTTGAATGCCAATGTATTAATGAACTTACTACTCTAACGCAAACCGCTTCAACTCCTATTGATTCTTCGCAAGTAGGTGATACACTTGTACCAGGTCAAAAGACTAGTGAAATTTTAGGTGCTAGTGAAACACGTACTCCTGTAGGAAGAGACCTTTATGTAGCTACTGACTTAGCCCCTTACACAGTTCATGTGCAAAAAGAACAATCCTCTCCAAACGAAAATTGCACCTTACACCCCGTATCATTTGGGCATTTTCTCAAAAGAAACAATATTAAAAACATTGTCAATGGCAGTCTTAAAAGGATAGGTAGGAACAGAATTTCAATTGCATTCTCTAAATTTGAGGATGCCAACGCTTTCCTTAACAGTAACTTGCTGAAATCAAATACTTACAAAGCATTCATACCCACATTTAATGTGACACGGATGGGAGTCATCAGAGGTGTACCTGTTAGCTGGAGTGATGAGGATATTATGAATAATATTAGTGTTCCTACAGGATGTGGAAATATAATCAAGGTAAGGCGCTTAAAGAAAAAGACAACTTCTATTGGCAAAACTGAATTTTTGCCAATTGAAACTGTCGTAGTGACATTTGATGGACAAATTTTGCCAAAAAGAATATTCCTTTGCTACAACTCTCTTCCTGTGGACCTGTATATTTACCCCACAATACAATGTTTTCAGTGCTGCCGATATGGACATGTTAGGAGTCAATGCCGTTCGTTAGCGAGGTGTTTTAAATGCGGAATGGGACACACTGGTGACACTTGTGATGTTGACGAAGAAAACATAACCTGCTTCTTGTGCTCTGGTCTTCATATGGCCACGAGCAGGAAATGTCCTGAATATGTTAGGCAAAGAAGTATCAAAGAATCCATGGCTAAAAGCTGCATAACTTATTCAGAGGCACTAAAATTACATCCTCCGATATCAAAGTCATTTGCTGATGTTTTGGTATCGGGGCGTTCTGGCCAACAAAATTCCTTGATTCCTCTCAGCCCACAGCAACCGCATACTAATAAACAAAACACTTTAAACACCTCATATAAAAAAACAGTTCTCATAAAGCCTAGAACACCGCATAGGCCTGGTAAAGGTTATGATCGTCATGAACACGAAACACTAACTAAAGACTACAGTACTCCTATCTCCCCCAGTAGAAGCATTCTTAATAATGATAATGATTCAACTCATGATTCAAATAGTTCACTTTCTAACCTCTCTATTCGAGACCTTATCATTGCGCTTATCACATCTTTGACACATAACAACAACATATTACCGTCCAACGTTGCCATACCGAAAAATGATGTACTAGTTAATAATATTTCTACTGTTTATGGGGAAAAAGTCCCTAATAGTGCAGTGGAATTGCAGGAGCATTAATCATAAGAAAAGCGACCTAAATTATATAATAAATTCTTTAAATCCGTTTATAATAGCTCTACAAGAAACTTGGCTTCGGCCTGACTCTATTTTTAAAATTTCCGGTTTCTCTTGTATTCGAGAAGACCGCTTTGATAACTACGGTGGGGTTGCCTTACTTATAAGGCACCCAATGCCATTTGTACATATTCCTATTCCGCAGCATAGTAATGATTTTTCGATTATCGCTGCTTCTGTAAATAATATATCTTTTGTTTCTATATATGTTCCACATCCCTCAACTTCTATTTATGATGAAATCGAACCAATTTTGAGTGTAATACCTAAACCTGTTGTAATAATGGGGGATTTTAACGCTCAACACCAATCTTGGGGAAGCACTACTTCTAACCACTATGGAAATCGCATTCTTGACTTTTTGGATAGAAATAATTTATGTTTCTTGAATACTGGAAATCCTACACGGCGCACCCTTCCTGACGAGGGGGTAAGTGCTCCTGACCTCACAATCTGCAATCCCAGCCTTGCGTCCTCTCTAACGTGGTCGACCTTACCTTCTACATACGGAAGCGATCACTATCCGATAACAATTACCTTTCCAACTGACCAAAAAATATCTCCCACTCGCCCTCCTCGACTAAAGCATAAATTGCAAAACGCTGATTGGAATTTATTTAAAGAAAGAGTTCAAGAAAAGATTTCGTCTTTGCCTTCTATAATAAATTCCAATCATAACGAATGTGCAGAGGCCTTAGCTTCGTTATTATTAGAGACAGCTGACGAAACTTTCCCCTCGAAAAATCCTGCTCGTAATAAATTACCTGCTCCCCCTTGGTGGGACTCTGAATGCTCTGACGCTATCAAAGAAAGAAAGGCAGCTGAGAAAAAGTATGTTTCGGACTCGACCGAAGAAAATTTTGAATATCTTTCGCAAGTTACCGCTAGTACTAGAAAACTCTTTAAGCAAAAGAAATGGGAAAGTTGGAAGAATTTTTGCTTTTCCATCTCTCCGGATACTCCTTCATCTGCAATTTGGTCGAACATTAGACGATTTAGGTCAGCTTTTAAGGAATCCACCCCAAAAGTTCTCCCTACATCATTAACTGATAATTTTTTAGACAGACTGGCTCCATCGTCTGTCCCGGAATTAATTACTCCCTTGCTCATGTCCATGTCAGAAAACGTACAATCCGGATTAAATGCTCCTTTCACTTTAACTGAACTTAAAGGTGTTCTTACTTACGTCAAGGACTCATCACCTGGTCCTGATGGAATCCCTTACTCTTTTCTTGCTCAGCTTTCGGATTCCTCTTTGAATTATTTTTTGAATTTAATTAACTCGATAATTTTTAATGGAAATATACCACCTTCATGGAAAGTTCAAGAAGTTTTACCTATACTAAAACCAAATAAATCCCCCTCAGAGGCAGAATCATATCGCCCTATAGCTCTTTCTTCGGTTATGGCTAAAATTGCGGAGCACTTAGTTAAAAATCGACTTGAGTGGTATGTGGAGAGTAAAGGATTTTTAAGCAATAGTCAGTTTGGATTTCGAAAAGGTAGGAGCACGTCAGACAGCATTGCAATATTCACCACTGACATAAGACTAGCGTTTTCGATTAATGAACATTTGTTAGCAGCTTTTCTAGATATTTCCGCCGCGTACGATAACGTAGTGTTGTCCCTACTTGTAGAAAAATTGTACAAATTAGAGGTTCCCGTGATTTTAATAAATTTTATTGTAAATATCTTAGTCGGTAGAAGTGTACATATTTTTAATGAAGACTTGGAAAAGAGAACGAGGTTATTATGGAATGGGCTCCCTCAAGGTTCCGTTCTTAGTCCTCTTCTTTTTAATATTTACTCTCATGATCTGGAATCTTCCTTTGGTAATGGCATTAACGTACTCCAATACGCTGACGATTTACTTTTGTATGTATCTGGAAAGAATACTGAAATCTTATGTAATACATTGAACTATAATCTTACTGTCCTAAAATTGTGGTTAGATAATAATGGCATGACTCTATCCGTGCCCAAAAGTTCGGTTGTTCTTTTCTCACGAATGAGATGCCCACCACCAATTACAATTTTTTATGATAATATTCAAATACCGATAAGTAACGAAGCCAAATTCTTGGGTGTTATTTTAGATTCAAAGTTGACAGGACTTTCACATTTCTATTATATTAGTGCAAAATGCGAACGCTTACTTAATATTCTAAGATGTCTGCGGGGAGTATGGTGGGGAGCTCATCCGTTTTCACTAAAACTTCTCTATAATGCAAAAAAAAAAAAAAAAAAAAAAAAAAAAAACTTGTCAAATGATTGCAATAAATAATTTTATTGCGTTTTTGTGTATTTTGTAAATTTTATTCTCTATCAGCTATGAGTTCTACCGCTGAAGAATCATCTATTCCTAAAGAAATGACTTTTGCTGAAAAACAAGCCGAAAGAATGAAGAGACTTCGCTCTCTCCACACAGCGAGAAACGAAGCGAGGTCGCACAACCATCAAGAAGTTGTTGCTGAGGAAGCCAGGAATAAGTTGCCACCTAATTACGAAGCGAAACGTCGCCAAGCAGAGTGGTTGATGGAAGACCAGAAGAAGCGGGAGGAGGCAGAGAGTGAAGGGAAAAGTTACGACAGAGTGAAGCTCTTGAACATTTCTGCAGTGGAGGCAGAGCGTTTGGAACGTAAGAGGAAGAAAAAGAATCCTGATCAGGGCTTTTCCAGTTACGAACAGGCTACAGTTCGGCAGTATAACAGGCTCGTTAAAAATATGCCATCAGCTGACATGGAGCAGTATGAAAAACAAAAACAAAAGTATGGCGATGCATTCTATGGTGGTCCCAATGTGATATTGCATGGAATGCATGAAGATCGCAAAGATGCAGTGGACAGGATGGTGAATGATCTGGAAGGGCAGATTGCCAAGAGAGCTAAATACTCCAGAAGGCGTACTCATAATGACGACGCTGACATTGATTACATCAACGAGAGGAACGCTAAGTTCAACAAAAAGTTGGAACGATTCTATGGGGAGCACACAGCGGAGATTAAACAGAATTTGGAACGTGGTACAGCCATATAGTTCTTGTGCATCTGCAGTGTTTTATTATAAGTTTTAAGTACTTTATATTGTAAAGGCTAATATTACTTTCTAAAAATGTTGTCGTTTCTTTTCTCATACTCTGGAAAAGTTGTTCGACCAGGGCACCGGCCTATCTATTCAAATTAGGACCTTAACTGTCATGTTTTTGGAGTAATATTTACTGTAAATAGTATTTTGTAAGATAATCTCTTGGGAAATAATGAAATTCAAAATATAAACAATTTCAATAACAAGTTTATTTTGATAAATGTGCTGATTAAATAAAAAAAATAGTACATAATATCAAATACATATTTTACATAATGTAAATAAACTATAAAAGCAATGTATACTTGTAAACAGTGTGTGACAAGTTCACTTATTTCCATGATGTACATTTTTTTCTGCTTGACTCAAGTAATTGACTAATTAATACTTGATTACTGTTTTCATTGATTACATTTTCCTATTAAATATTTTATAAGTTTTTCATTTATAGCCCTATCTAATAAATTGTGTATACTTTTTACAATAACTTATTGTTATTTAAAATTGAAGTGTTAAAATTAACACTTAAAATGTATTTTTCTAACAAATAGTAAATTTAATATTATTTCATGTAGGATACTCAGAAGTCTGGAAAATAATTTAAGTTAGGACATTTGATTATCTAAACCAGATTTTGTAATAAAGATAAGAGAGTTTGTATTATGTAAAATGAATTATTATTATAGACAAAGGTATTACTTTCGATTTTTATTAATATGAAACCTTTGAAGAACAGTAAAATGCCCTAGCCTGACTGTTTTTTCAATATTATAATGTAAAGCATTCTATATTTATAGTTGATGCTATACCTACATATTAAAATAATATAATTACGTATTTATATAAAATGAGCACAAGTTTTATACAGAAAGAAATGCTTAGGTAATAATGTTTACATATCATAATAAAATTTGAAGTTTGGAGCTTCGACTAGAAATCACAGTGTTTGTTTTAATTAATTATTATAACTTTATTGCCGTAATCTCAAATTTATTAGGCATTACCCTAATGTGATGTACAAATATTGCGAAATGTTCTATACTTAGATACTTTTTGAGCTCATAAAACTCCAAAAGTACTTATAATGTTTTCAGAGTTCGATTCTTCAGTCAAAAGTTTTATCAGTTTGTTCCAACAAAGGAGTGGAGTCGCGGGAAGTTGCTGATGCTATAATATTATTTAGTTATTTTCTGCGTTATTTTACTTAAGAAGCTCTTAAAATGTGGAGATAATACCCTATTGCCTATTGCAGAATAGAAACAAAAACTAATGCATTGCGTCATCGTGATGCTCAGTAGGTAAGTATTTTATGACCAGTACCTACAATTCATTACCTACCCGCAGACTAGGTAGGTAGGCCTAGGCACTAAGTGGAACCTGAAACGGTTCCTTTTATCCCTAAGCCCTAATGTAAGTATAGGCTGAAATAAAGGTGACAGTAAAAATTTACTCTAGGCCCTATAATTAAAACCTATAGACGCTGATATTACTAATTTGGTGATGGTTCTTGGACCAAGAGTCTTGGTAGCTATTGCACCATCTGTGTATGCTGGGGTGGTCGTCTGTTTCTAATTTGATAATGCTTGATTTCGTCCGAGAATCTCTGCCCATAGCTATTGCTCTTTGCCATCCTGCCTTGTTTTTACTTCATCATCATTAGATAGACCCATCAGCGTTTTTTTCTTGAAGTTGGGGACTGTTTGTTCTGAACTTCTGACATGGCAAACCATAGCGCCAGGTGACTACTATATCATACGTAACTAACACTACGGCTAGCCACGGCTGAGCGTTTTACCAAACCACTTCGTTTGATTCTGAATCATTCTTATTTTGTGCGGAAGTGGACAGTTAAATTGCATTTCAAATACCAAATAAATATAAAAATGTACATATAAGTTGTACCTATCTACTACCGTGTAATAGACTTTTCTGTGAAAAATATCAGAATGCTCTACGATCAACATAGCGGGGGAGAATGCTACTATTCTGATCTGTATGATTCTGAAATATTAATATACCTAAATGGGTGGTCGAGTGATTCGAGAGGTATTGAAATACTCTAATAACTGTAGTCTTACCAATTATGTAAAGAAAATAAACCATTTTCACGGGCAAATCTTGACTCTTTCTCGACCTAACAGTTTGGTGAATAAATTAAATCAATCCCAATGCGAAATATTTGAGAAACAGATTAAATGTGAGAGATTATGCATATTTATGACGTTAGATCACAATATTTCCGTTATTAAAATATAGAGAGACTTTCCATTTATATGTGTATAACTATAATAGATAGTGGATAAGAAATATCATAAATTTATCCAATCCTTGACTGTTTTTCTACGTAGGTATTACTTACACAGTCTGCACTATTAAAAAGCCATATTTATTTGTATTATTGTTAAAATGTATGGGTAAGGCTTACACCCAAATGATACATTTTGTAGATAATGATAAATTTCATAATATCTCCGAATACAATAAAATTAATCTGTAATTTAATTTAGTTCCTAAATTGAATTCCGATACAACTTTGTGTTTACGTAATATTATTTTACCTAAATAATTGGCAATAAAAAGAAGCTAAATGGCGGAAGCAGTTTAGCGACAGTAATCGCTTTTAACATTTTTGAAAATAACGTATATAATTTACAATACAATGTATTGTATAGTAACGTGTTTAAAAAGCGTAAACAATCCTATCCGAAAGGCCAGTGATTCTTGTGCTCAGACAATAAATTTTCGAACGCGAACAATGTTGAAACATCAAAATGTGTAAAATACTTCCTACATCCGTAATTTATTAGTTGGTTCAATTTGATGAAAATAAAATATTATTACCTACAAAAATTTTTAGTATTTCAGCACTAGAATCACTCCTTTCGCATCGGACGGTTTTTTACATGCTGTATACACGTTGCATGTAAGTCAACATCGGGGTACAATTTCCTTAACTTTCTAAAGGTAACTGTATATAAACTTATATGTAATTCGAGTCCTATCCACCTTAAGTGCAGTGTAGAAATGTAAATAACCAGCCGTTATCCGCATTTGGCACAACAAAGCACTCAGAGAGAATAGGAAACAATCAACGTAATAAATATTTATTCGTGCAGGTTTTGGAATGTGTTAAATCAAAATTGTATAACAAAATCAGACTTTTCCGCGTAACTAACTACCAAATGCGAATATCACAGATTCGTTCATCAATTTGTACTACTGCACTTAAGATAGGCTACGTATCATCCGGTCGCCAGCATTCATAATACCCATGAGCGAACAATTTCTGAAAAAGACAATTTCGAATCAATAAGCCAATTGTGTTGCCAGTTTCCAATAATAACAAGTCGATTAGTATTTTTAATGGTAGCGCCAGAAATATTAATTTGTGATGTAGTCCGTGTATTTAAAGTAAGCTTATATAAAATGCGTTTTCCTAATTAATATTGATGAACTTACTCCGCCGTCCTGGCATTAGGCGAACTGTAATTCCGTCGGGCGCTCGAACTGTACAAACAAAAATCTATTATTGCTCGAATGGAGATTCCTGGTTAAGTCATGTTAAATCATTCCACAGACGACAACGTGTTAAGGATTAATAGGAGCAAAAACAACTCACCTTGCACGAGGATAAGAAGCGAAATTAAAATAAGTTTGCTTGCTAATAAATTTATTTATTCCCTGATATACATAAAATTCATCACAATTTACAATAACACTACACAAGGCTCTAAGTACAGTTGTACTGAATACTTTATAAGATGTAGGTAGGGTAAACCGTATAGCTATTGCCCACTTAAAGATTTCAAACACATTGAGATGAAAAATTAAAGAAAGTATTTTAATTATCGACCATTTATGACTTTTTTCTTATAACTCAATAAACTGTTAAACAGAATATTAACACTTTTTAGTTAAAACTTACGTAACTTAGAAAATATTGAAATAAATTTAAAATCCTCCAAAAAGTACAGTCATTGCCCATTACATACACTAATTGCCCACATCAAAGCACAGTAATTACCCAGTATCTTAAAACAAAATAATCAATTTTAAAATGACAAAATAGGCTTTAAATAAACAAAACAAAACATTAAACTTAAATTCTAGTAGTACAGTCTTCAAAATTTCAAAATAAATTGCGTTTGGCCTTATTAACATATTATCAAATATTTCTTGAGCTGATGTTGATGACTCAAAACGGTAGAGACAGAATCATCTACTTCAAAACATAGATGACGCAAAAATTTGAATTTTATATGTAAATTTCATATGTATTTATTTTTTTATCTTCTTTGATATCAGTTCAAGTGGTTACTCAGAATGTTCAATTAGCTGTTGGTTATTCTTCCCTAAAGTTGTATCTATTTCCTTACAATTAACATTTTCATTAATAGATTTAACGTAGGATTTTAATTTTTTGTATTTGCGTTTGAATTTTTATCAATTTTTTTAAGCCAAACCATATTTTTCCAGCAATTCATCTTGTAGATAAATTGTTGGATACATCTTGTACAGCTTCGATTGCTTTTTGCAAATTTTCTATGCTATATTGAACTTTTGGAGTCTTTGGCATACTGAAAATGAAACATTAAAAGCCATTTCAATATTTATGCCTGTAAATTGCAAAACAAGTCTAGCAATGAGCAACTTAAACACTGCTACTGCATGGTGGCAACATTCTAATAATAATTGCCCTGGGCAATAACTATACATTAACATATGGCAATAACTGAAATGATGGTGGGCAATAACTAAAAATGTACAGATTTACGTGCAGTGATTACCCACCGTTAAAATGACCGTTAGAAATCAAATTTTATCAGTTATTTTCATTGATTATGGAGAAAACACTTATAATTTCATTATGACTATACACCATTAGTTGAATATTAAATAACTTGCAAAAAAAATTTAACCTCTAAGCAAGTAATTCCTTAGTAAAATTGTTAAAGTCTTTACCTGTTTGAGTAACATTTTCACCCGTCTTGACAAAATCCGCCATAACTGTTTTTTGTTAGTGTTTCCTATTGTAAATTTTAAATCTACTGTACATTGATCTCGGAGCCATCTACTTAGTAAATTCAAATCTAACTAGAGTGCTTCAAAGTCAGCACCTGACAATATTATTCTTAAAGCGGGCAATCACTACCAGTGGGCAATCACTCTCTGGTTTACCCTACCTATTTAAATTTTACAAAGAATTTAAAATCATGTGTATGACTGTTATTTTTCTATAAAATAGCTACCGTAAAATTTCAAAATGTTTCATTTGTGCACACAAACGTATTGATTTCATTGTGCGGAAGACGAAATTACTAACGAAAATACTTTTTCCTATAAGCTTTAACTTTTAATAAATATTTAAAACTCAGGACATTTAATTTTAACAATATTGCGGAATAATTCCATCCTTATTATACTTAATTGTAAATCTACAAAACCTTAAATAAAACAAAATTTAAACAATAATTTATGTATCTAGAAGTTTAAAAGATGGAAAGACAAATTGCCTTGCCTATCACAGTTAAATTCGATAAAATAGAGCAATTATTACACCTGTATGAAAACCACAAAGTCTTTAGAATAATTCTTAAATAGAATACCTCTAATCCCATGAAGTTAACTTTGATAAGTACACTTGTGAAGAATGCTTGAAATTATTATAGTTATAAAATGATTGTAAGAAATCTTTGAGAATTGAAAATATTTTGATAAAATAGTATCTTATTGTAATTACTTCATAAAAAAAAAGAATAATCGAATCTGAAACAAGTTTAAGTGTTGAATCGCATAGTTTCATTTTAATTAATTTTCTCACTTGCTACCGTGTAAAAAAGCCTCGCACGTGACATTGGCGAAACAAGTGTGTTTACGGTGGCGAAAAACGAAAATTCATCGCCGTTAATAAATACGAGACAAACGAAGTATTGCCAGATACACGTTAACCTGAATATTATTGTAAAATAAATATTTTGAAAATACTTTATCGTGAGCAAAACGGTCTTGTTGAGCAGATTAAAATTTTAACAGGCAATTAAATAATTTATACAAGATTTTTGGCAAGGCGCGATAGTAGTCTTTTAGATGAGATCGTGTGATGTCCCACAATTTGACCAGTCAACAAGTGATGTTTTAATTTCCTCTTATAATATTAAGAATATAAACAATAAATAGTTATTTCCATTTATGTAGCTAATAATTTCACAAAATAATTTCAACCTAGCCTATGAATAAAATAAAAGGAATAAAGTAATTTATGCCTACTATAAAGATTTATGTACAAAAGGCACAAAGCAGCATTCCAATAATATGATTTCATATAACCTTATATGCTACTCGTTAGTTGCGATGTAAAAGCCTTTGTAAATATATCTTCAACAACACTCGCGTCAAGTGGCGACCTTTATCACCTATACTTATTTGGAATGCTGCCTGTAGTAACTCTTAACTCAGAAATAAAGATTGTTAATGAAGTCAAATATAACAACACACATGCAAAGATCCAGCTTGAACACTCAACAAGTACTCAAACAGGTTACATTGACATATAAAACTATAAATAACTTATACAAAGAAAATCCAACAATAATAGTCCGTTTCCGTTGGCATTTCCTTAGAAAGTTAATGCATTCACAAACATGCCAGGGTTACAACGCTAAGCATGTTTCAAAGTCTTCAAAATTAGCCTCAATCGGACACTTGAAAGTTTAAAAGTTTAAAAGTCAGGCACTCGGTAAACACTGAAAAATCACTGAACACTTAACACATAGGCATAGAGGAACTCGGGTTTAGCAGTTGAGTTTTGGTAAGGCACTGAGAAAGTCTTCGAGGTCGGTGTCTGTGTTGGTTAGTTGTTTGTTGGAGCGGATGGATCGGGAGGAGTCTCGGAAGGACCCGAATCCCGAGTCCTGCGTTCTGGGTGGGGGCGTACCTACGATCCGGGGCATCTCGCATTGCTCGCACTTGTTGAGTAGCGGGTGGTTGCGGAAGGTGCAGAGGTGGCACTGCCAGGAGGCCGACGGCTGCTGCCCGGTGTAGATGTTGCTGTAGAAATTGCCGGAGTCGTCTCGCTCCCTCTCCCGTTCTCGCACTGGAATTGTGTTAAATAAACATTTGTAAATACAAAGAACATTTAGTAGAACCTCATCTGAGGTTAGGCCCAGAACAGACGGTGAAACGCAACTGCAAAGAAACTGCAACTGCTAGTTACTTTTGAGTTGCATCTAAGTTTCTGCCATAGCGTCCGTTGAGAGACTACACATGACGCGACCAGTTTGAAAGTTTCAGTTTCATTCATAAGAATCATCAGAAAGTTGCAGTTTCGTTGCAGTTGCGTTACACCGTCTGTTCTGGGCCTTAGTGTGAGTTAACATCAAACGTCGTTGTCACTAGCGAGCGCGATAAAAAATATATGAAGATTTAAGTCTTGAAAGTTTCTACTAGGGGCGCTGTACAATCCGTCATATTTTATGTCTTTTTTACGCAGCCGAAATCGAATGCGTTTGACTTAAACTCACACTACCGACGCCCACTGTAGTCAGGAAGAGTACGCCAGTCAAGTCAGACTTGTTGTGATTTTGTAAATCCTAATAGCCTAACATGCAGTGCAGAACACTGCTGAATATTGCCTCTTTGTTTTGATGAAGTTTAAAAATTGACTTGTTTTCCTACTCTGTTATAATAACAAACAAAAGACAATAAAGTAATAATATTATGTTCTTGAACATTATTATGTATAGCCTGACCAGGAACATNAGGCTATACCTATAATAATATTTTTTCGTTAATTCATGAAAATATCAAATTAGCCCGTAATCCTGAATCCTGATACATAAAGTTAGCCTAATAATTTAACACAGGTACGACTGTACTCAGTGTTGCACTATCAAATGCAATTGACGCGCCTCTATGCCAGGGTTTTTATGTTCCTGGTCAGGCTATAAGTCTACAATCTACATTGATATTGCATTACATGCCTACATCCATATACAAAACCACAAAGAATTTGATCACTGAGCCAAGCCAGCCTCTTTGTGGTCAAACAACCGGTTATGGGAAAAATACATTTCATTGTTATGTAAACAAGATAAACACGTCATATTGCCAATTTTAGCAGTAAAACATAAATGAGTTATTTGCTCAAAGCGGAATGTATAAAATATAATTTCTACAAGTATGTATTACAAAAGATATGTAGGAACAGAATCATACAAAGTTAGATCCCCATTGCATTGGGTCCCCATTCAACATATTATGTCGTAAATCACGGTGACGAAAGCAACAATACTGGTTTTTAAGCAAATATTTGGGACGTAATAATGTTATCGACGGTCGATGGGGCAGCAAAGTTCTGAAGTGGAAGCCTCGCAGCGTGCGACGTCCACCCACAAGGTGGACCGACGACCTCATACAGATCATACAGACCGGTAGCAGAAAGGCGCTGAAAGCAGGCTTCTACCAATCGCGCGATATGGAAATCATTGGGAGAGGCCTATGTTCAGAAGGCTGAAATGATGAATGTTTTCGACAAAAGCTTACCGTTCCCGGTCATTTCTAGCCTCTTAGCCATGGTATCGCACTGGTCTCGCAGCAGTTCGACGTATTCTCTCAACTTCTGCGTGGCAGACGGCGGCGGGAGCGGCGCGGCCAAGATCTGAGTTTCCCGCTTCAGCTGCGCCAGATGGCCCTTCTCCTGGGATAGTGCTTTGACTAGACAATCGAGCCGCTGCTTCTGGCGTTCGATGAGGGAACGATCTGGAAGATTTGTGGCTGTATTAGGATAAAGCTTCAAACTAAAATGACAGTGGGCTGGACACCTAGCAAGGTACAAAGATAGAAGATGGACTATAACATCAACAGAATGGAAGGGACCGAAGGGGAAGAGGAATGTTGGGAGACCCAAGGAAAGGTGGGCTGATGATATAATGAGAGTAGCGGGAGAAAATTGGCTCGACCTAGCCCAGGACAGGAAGAAATGGAGCGGAATGGAGGAGGCTTTTGCCCATACAGGGGTGCCACAAGAGTGAAGACAAATGCTTCTAACTTAATTTATAAAATTGTAAACTTGTGGAAATAAAAGCTTTTTATTTATTTATTATTAGGATAACGCTTGAATATCATCAGGTCATTTGGTCTACTGCAGGTGGATGACCCTCTCTAATTTACTAGAGGCAAATGGTGGATTTGGCTTACACTACCTATGCTGAACTCTTTAGAAATGTGAGATAATGTGTATATTAATCATGGACTTCTGTACAAATTCAAAATGAGTAAACAAATCTCTTAAAGTTTAATGAATACAATTTGATCCATTGTTTTGTTTTGTGAACAACAACAGTGATTTTAAAAAAGTTTTCCTGGTGTGTGTATGACTATGTGCCCTTGATCAGAATGCAGACACTGGGTGACCGGTGAAGGTTTTATTCACCTTGAAACAAAATTGCCAACAGGGGAAGTCCTGTCTGTCGCCATTTATATGGCTCTGCTGATATGGATGAGAGGATGTAATTTTGTGATAGATAATGAATATAATAAAATGTATAATTTACTGAAATAAATTGCAAGTAAAAGAATTGTGTGGAGGTGGATGGGCAACAGATGCAGGAGATAGAGGAGAGTGGAAACAGTTGGAGGAGGCCTTTGCCAAAAAAGGCAGGGAAGCAGAGGAAGTGTCAATTAGAATAATATTAAACTCAATCAATTTTAAACTCTGTATGTCTGAATAAAGGCTTATATAATTAACTAGCTGACCCGGCGAACTTTGTTCCGCCTTAATGGCAATAAATAAGCAGACTTTTTTTTTATTTCGAACGGGATAAAAAGTATCCTATGTCCTTCTCCTGGCTCTAAACTACCTCCCTGACAATTTTCAGCTAAATCGGTTAAGCCGTTCTTGAGTTATAAGTGGAGTAACTAACACGACTTTCTTTTATAATTGTGGGCCAAAAGAATCACAACAACAAAAGAAAATCATACCTGGTGTAGATCCTGGGGGCTCAGGCGCTGATCTGGCCGGCCGAGGAGTCTCAATCCGGGACGGCTGCGACGGCGGCGGGGGCGCGCGGCGTCTCGGCGGCCGCGCCGTGCTCGGACTCACCGTCACCGTCACGTGCCCCTCGAAACCCCCCTCGTCCTCACCCCCGCGGGAATCACGAACCGGACTCGCCATGCTGGAAGTCGGCGTACAAACGGTCAAATTCACTGATGTTATAGCTCTCGGACTATCGTAATCCTCTAACCATGGATCGTCATACGCGCGACTCAAGTCCATATGACAATTCACGTTCACTGATAAATTCAGCGGATACACTCGCTCTTGTCGGTACAGCGGGCTGGGTTTCGCACTTTGACTTTCATGTTTCAGTGAAGGAACGGGGGAAACTGTATGGCTCACGTCAGGTTCTGGCTCTTTTAGTGTCTGTTTAAATGCAATATCTGGGTTTGGTTTGATAAAGTCAAGTGTGTTTGGACGTTTCGGTTTTTCTTGATGTTCCGGTTTCGGTTCAGGCTCCTTTTTGTCTTCGGGCTCCTCCTTTTTTATTGTCTTCTTCTCCTTTCCTTTCTCTAATCTCTCATGTAGATTGCTTTTTATCTTGTTGCTTTTAAGTATTCTGTAATTTGTGCTCTCTGGTTGTTCCAAGTTCTTATCAAGAGGTGCACTATCAGTTGTAGGTCTTTCCTCCTTTACATTTTCATTTGTTAATTCCAAGTCACTTGGAGACTCAACACTATACTTGGCAAAGCAGTTGTCAAGGTTGATGGTAATAGGAGATGTGTTGTTGTTGCTCCTTGGGGTTTCTTCTACTGTTTCCACAACATTCTGGTTGGCATCAGTGTTTACCTTCTTGTCACCGTCATCGAAATCATTGGAGCTAATGATCGCAGTCTGTGGCCCTTGGCAAGTGATGGACTGAATTGGCGTCGACTTGGCAATCTCATGCTTGACTATGGGTTGATTACGACACTTAGATGGCGGGTTGAGCTTGAGCTCGTTAAGCTGGCGCGCCGCGGCAGACGAAGAGGCATGGTAGGCGTGCGTTAGGGAGGCCTTGACTTCGCTGTGGAGGTGAGTCTCGCAGGCTTGCTTGTCGTGACAGTATAACTCGATAGTGTTGGACACAACATGGTCGGGTACGCCGGGGAACTTCTGCTTTAGCTCATGGAACAATTGCATAAGCGATATATTAGTGCAGGCACACGGCGAGGGGCTCGTCGCGCTGTCGGAGGGGGCAGACATCGCCGCCCATCCTAGCGGGACCAAACCGCTCCGCCGCGAATCGTACCTTCACCACTATGCGGCGAATCTCTTCCCACTCATTGGCAAAAACAATCAAACATTTTACTACCCAACTTTACACTGTAAATAACGTCCCGCAGTCGTCGTGACGTCACAAACCTAAAAACCACAATTCTACACAGTTACGTATACGTACCCCGACTTCTGCGATTACTAGCGTTCATGTCTTGTTAATACAAAAAGTACACATGTGACGAAGAAGGACATTTAGCGACGGAAAGTTGCATTTTTGTATCTTTTGTTATCATACCAAAGCAATATTTCGATGTGTTGCAAAATACAACGAACTGAAGCTATGTCCCAATAACAATTTACCAACTCAAAGAAATTATTTTAACACTTTTTAGAGTAACTTACTAAACAGTTTTAAAGTACAAAGGCAATAATTATTGTGCCCAAAAATAAATTAATAAATCGCAATACTTGTCAAACCAATTCTGCCATTTTGGTTAGTCATAGAGTGAGAGGATGTTTTTTTATTTTATTGATTGGAGCTTGGCATATTGTGTAAAGTATTTTGGTTGATTAATGTTATACTTACAGAAAGATCTTCAAACAGTCGAAAACCTGAAAATAAAGAATACAATAGGTACTTTATTGTTAGGAGTTTCATTAGAAAATTGCTGTAAATTGTAATAATTAAGATTTGAATTTGAATGATTTAAAGACTTCGTAGTTTATGGTTCTCACCACATTTCCGGTTGTCACTGTCAATGTCAGTCAACCAGTCAGCTGTCAATTTCTATTGGATCGAGTCTTTGTTTTTCTCTTCTCTTGTATTTTCGAAAAGGAAAAAGGCTGAATTAGTTAATTCTGTAAACATGGTAGACGACTTGAGGAAATATTTGAACCATCTACTTGAAAAGTATGCACCTCTATCCAGTCTAATACCTGCGTTGATGCAAAAACAAGTTGTTCAAAGTTGGTGTTATTTCAGGGTAAATGGACTTCACTGTATTTTGATTACTGACCGTGATGGGGTGCCGCTGGTGAGGTCGGTGACGGAGCGCGCGCCACAGCTTGCCTTGCGACCGAACTTCATCTCCACCTTCGGCATGGCGACCGACCAAGCTAGCAAACTGGGACTGGGCCGCAACAAGACTATCATATCAATGTATTCGAGTTATCAGGTGATTACAGCATTTGTATGTCACAGTGGACATCTTACTTGGAATTCTCATCCATAATCTTGATATGTGGGCGTATTTGTAGATTATCGATGAGTTTTGGTTGATCCGTTTCCTTATTTTTTGTTTTTATTACATCCTTTATTCCAAGAAATCAAATGGATTTCCAAATTTTACATTTTACTTAGCTTATTATTTAACTAGTAATGATTTTTTCCAGGTGATACAAATGAACAAACTGCCTTTAGTAATAACCTTTATTGGTAGTGACAACTGCAACACTGGCCATATACTATCCCTCGAGAGCCAAATAGAACCGTTCCTGAAGGACTTAGCAGCCATTGTGGCTGAGACACCATAAACCTAGAATTTGTTTATATTTTTATATCTGTTTTTTGTATGTTTTCAAGATGTAAATAATGCTAGGTTTAAGGAGGATTCTAGTATAAAAATACATTACAATATTGTCTCATTAAGGCCCGATTCGACCAAACTTTTATCCAAGAATAACTCAATCACAGAATAAATCGTCACTTTTGACATATTTCCCATACTGAAACTGTCAGTGTGCCAGTTATACCAAGAGTTATTCTCGGATAAAAGTTTGGTCGAATTGGGCCTTAATCTATTAATAGAAATAACTAAAATATTATTTGGATCATATGCCAATATAACACTGAAGTTAATTGTAAATTTAGTATGCTAAATCCAGGATGCAAAGACATACTTGAATTAGATTAAGTAATTCCCCAGCTCATTAATTTATGATATAATTATTTTGAAACTTGTATTAACACATTGAACGCCAACGCGGTCAATGTTGTCCGACACTGCACTTTCCTACCAGGCCAAGTAAAAATTTCAATTTTTTTCAATTTTCGTCCATTGTTTTTTTTTTGTTAAATCGTTACATTATAAACATAAATAAAGGAGGTACACTAATCTTGGGAGCCGCGCGGGTCAGCTTATATGAGAATTATTGAAGAAATGCTGTCCATCGGCTCAATACAGAGGTTTGAACATAGGTCTGACTCGCGGTCATCATTGTCCGACGCGGCCCGAACGGAATAGTGCCATTTTTAGGCTGGCAGCGAAGGTGTTAAGTGTAAAATAACACTTTTGTGGCCTTCTATTGAAATATTCTGCAAAATCTCTACAGTATATTGAGAGCTCAGAATCTTTAGTGTGTCATTAACTAGATTCAACTGTAAAGTTGATTTATAAACACTTGAAAATTCTTAGTGAAATGTTAGTTTCTTAAAAGATAAGTTGTTTGAACGTAACGAAAAATTTATAGATAATATTGATTTTAAACTGTCCATATAATAAATACCCCCATGTAACTTGTAAATACACACAAGATATTAATAATGTTATTATAAAATGGGATTAAATAAATGTAACATAATTAAAAACCAATTTATATTTGCTGTGTATTTTATTGATTACTCTATCTTTTGAACATTCTTTTGGTTCATCCATAAAAGATAAGTTTAAAACAATACTATCTTAATGAGTAGGTATTGTTTATTATAAACTGAAATCAAGAGTAATAATACAATCTAAAGTGTCAAGTTTTCTATCTTATCATATTCAAAGTACTCTCAATATTTATCATTAGGTGTCTTTTTCAACTCATTGTAAAGTAGTAAAGTTTAAAAAACACTTAACACCAACAACTCGATACCTAGTGATAGAGATAATTTATTATCTTTCATTTATGTATTAGTTTAGGTGGTAGGAGATGCTATAATATTTAATTACTACGTAATTATTAAGCAATCAAATATTAATCTTGTAGTAGCAAAAGCAATGGAAAGAATCAATGGACATCAAACCATTTTTTGTAGTGCAAGCAACTTTGGGCATAAAATATTCGTTGAACACGGCGCGACGTGCGCAAGAGTATCAATTTCTAATCAATAAAAATATTCAAGCGACAATGTACTTTAAAGTAGTTAATTTAAGAGTTCTATTCGAGTACAGGCGTGATAAGAGGCTTGCCGGAGAGCGCGTTGACTACGTTGTTTGCCGCCAATACGCCCATGTCGCTGCGTGTGCGCACAGTCGCGCTGCCGATGTGCGGGAGGATGACTGGTGGAATAAATATAAATAAATAGTTACTTCTTTTAAAAGAGTAGATGGTACTGGCCAAAAACATTAGAATAGGCCTATGGTGAAGAAGAAAGGCAACTTTTTCAGCATGCCATTATTTTTCAATATACTTACTCGTAGAATGAGGCAACATTGTATTAGGTTTGGATCGGGAACTTATCCACTAGGTTTCCCACTAGGTGGACCGACGATCTGGTGAAGGTCGCGGCAGGTAGGTATCTGGATGCGGGTAGCGCAGGACCGGTCTTTGTGGAAAACCTTGGGATAAGTCTTTGTCCAGCAGTGGACATTATTTGGTTGATCGAAGGGATCACCAGTTTCAATCCAATTAATGAATATTGAGTCTTAGTCCCAGGGGATAGCTAAAAGCACTTACAAATGTTGGGAAGTGTGAGCAGCTTGTGGTCCTTCGGCAGAGGCTCGGGAGTGGTCACGTCGAGGCCGGCGGCGTAGATCTGGTGATTCTTCAGAGCGTCGTACAACGCGTCTTGGTCAACCAAGTCTGTAAAGCATACCCATCATCATGAAGTAACCTTAGTTAGTAAAAAAAATAAAGCTAGAACTAAAGAGAAAGACGTTTCGAAAGGAAGCCCAATAGGTTCAAGTTGAGACATCTTAATGTGATTCCCGACACTGGTTTTCAATGGGAGTCTTTTCGCAATTAAGAATCCTTTTCGCCAAGGCTGAAGAAGCAAAAATTGGAAAAATAAAAAGAGAAAGTGTGTCGAAACGCCGCCCCCTCAGTTCTACCATGTTCTACTCAGTCCGAGTCCCAAAACAACCAGTGTTGTTCAATGGGAAACAAAGAAGTAGGTAGAACACAGGAAAATAAAAAGAGAAAATCACATTACACATAGGAAAGATTTATTTTCATTGTTGACAACACCAAATGAACAGCCGAGTTGTTTCTGCATTGCATTATTTTCTACTTATGAAATGTGTAACCCCATGCTTACAAAAAGTGGAACTTACCCCCTCTGCCAACGTTGACGAGGATGGCGTTCTTCTTCATCTTGGCCAGGGTGGTGCTGTTGATCATGTGCTTGGTCTCACTGGTGAGTGGTACCGCCAGCACTATGAAGTCACTCTGTGCCAGCAGCTGGTCAAGTGATACGAACTCTGCTCCTAGTGCTTTGCCTGTAATTTGACGTTGTACTTACTTAATTAGTTCTGATTTTACCTCTGAACGTCATCCCTAATTAATAATTTTCACTAACTTAGTTACCCTACGTTCGACAGTGAAAAAGAGGGGAAAAAGAAACATTTTATAAGACCATGCACTTTATGCGTCAGAATTGTCGCTTCAGATAAGTAAGGCTAATTTAGACCTACTGAGTTTCTGTCTTTCTTAAAGATTTCAATAGCTTTTATTGTTTTCTATACTAATATTATAAAGAGGAAAACTTTGTTTGTTTGTTTGGTTGTAATGAATAGGCTCAAAAACTACTGGACCGTTTTTAAAAATTCTTCCACCATTCGAAAGCTACATTATCCACGAGTAACATAGGCTAAATTTTATTTTGGATAAAAATAGGGTTCAGGTGCCCACGCGCGCGAAGCCGCGGGCGGAAAGCTATAAATAATAAAGTTATAAGGAATTAAACTACGTAACACTACGTATTTGTCAGCCAATACCTTCAGGCTTCTCCCTATGTCCTGTGTAGACGAACTTGCCGACCTCGAAGCCGGCCAGCCGCTTGACCACCGCCTGCCCGATGCCTCCCAGCCCGACGATGCCCACGGTGCTCCCACGCACATCCTGTCCTAGCACTTTGTTGAAGCCGATCTCCCATTCGCCCCTGAAAAGTTATTAAGGATTTATAGAGATTGAGGGTAGTCTGCTAATTTTAGGGGTTAAGTGTCATCGCATAAGTGGCATAAAGCATCTATGTTGATTGTAGCCCACTATGATCTGATTCTGTAGGTAAGTAATCGGTGGAAGTTGTAGGTGGTGTAGGTGTGGTGGTGGTATTTCTGTGTCCTCCACTAGGCCAAGTTAGTACTAGGCATAACAGTACCGGAAATAGGCAAAAGACGAGAAGAAACTGGGAAAATTGCAAACGTTAGGAAAAAAGGATTCTATGTAACTTAATTAAGATGATCAAACTTATAAGCAAGTTAAAAATAAACCAGTCTTACCTGCGCACTTGATCCAGGTTTTCAGTGAACCGGCGAGCCGCACCCAGGATGAGTCCGACAGCGATCTCAGCGACAGCAGGGCTCAGAACATTCGGTGTGTTCGCGAGCTTGATACCACGTGCCTTCAGCTCGTCTAGGTTGCAATGGTTGTAGCCGGCTGATGCAGTAGCGACCACTTTGAGGGATGGACCTGAAGAGGTCGAAAAGCATGATGATGATGGGCCAGTGACGTCATGAGTAGGTCCTAGGTGACTGAGACGGATCACGTGAAAATCGACCCTCTGTCTTCTTCCTAATAGCAACCTGAGAAAGTGGAGGATATAGCGAGTGTTCTTGGCGCATGAGACTGATGACGTCATTTTAAAAAAAACCCAGTCTATGGCCTACTTTCTAAAAAAGTCCGACATAAAAGACAGGGCGAGCAACATTAACGTACTCAATACTCAATAATATACGTTTATTGCTTCCTATTCGGTAATAACGAATTAAAAGCAGAAGCTCGCTTCCACTTTCTGATCATCACTTACCATCAGGTGAGATACATGCGAAGAGCTTACTCTTTGTGGATAAAAAAAAATGAAGCGATACTTGGTGAGCACCTAACAAGACTCACGAGGGGTTGCTAGTAAGATGGTGTAGACCTTAGATCTACGTCTACATTATGGACGTTGTGGCACCTAAACCTATGCTATTACTATTTACCAGCTTTATCCAGCAACTCCTTGGTGATGGGGTGATGTGACACCCACACGAGTCCGGAGCATCCTGGGATGAGGTTCAGGAGTTCCTCTTTGTTCTCGGTGATGCCCTCTTCCCCGAAGTGTATGAAGCGGCTTTGAAGAACTGTGAAACTAGACAAACAGTGGAGCAGTTGTAACATTCATCATAATTTGCTAAACAAAACATTTATTTTCTTTAATTTACTGAATTTTTTTATTTTCGTTAAAATTATTTATTTTGATAATTTTCTAAGTCGAAAGCATCAAAGAAGTCCTGTTTTAGATATCAAAATTGCCGTAATCGCTGTAAATCATTTATTGTAGGTAGCAACATTATAATAAAACAAAGGATTTGATTTGTCTGTCTTATCTGTGCATTCGACAATAATCTACAAAGAATCCAAAATCATGTTTTTAGAAGCCGTACTGATGTTAAATGATTAAATAATAAACTATAATAAATCCCACTTACTGTTTGCGTAAAACTTCCAGTCCACTTTCAGGGAAATCGTTGGAAGACACCAGAACCTTGAGATTGTTCGTCATGGTTGTGTTCTCGCCGAGGGCCGGCAAAACATGAATAACCGCGAACGTCAGTGTCGCGATAAACGAATTACGTAACATATCGGTCGTGTTTATCTACAATCGACTGATAAAACTCTATTGTACTACAAGTCACAACTAAAATCTAAAGTTAACTGAGACTTAACCGTCTCGAAATTGGCGAGCGAAACTAACTAGCCACGTCCAGTTACTTAAACTAAATGTAAACGGGTTACTACAACATTCTTATCGGTAGCGGTTCTTTAATAATTATTACCTATTTGCCTTGAACCTGACTTACGTTCGATTCGATACTGGAACAAGATTAAAATAGAGTAGGTAATGAGGTTCAATCAATTTAACTGGACTTATTAATCACTATTAGTTCTTCCATAGAGTGGTTTGTACAGATTTTGGATTATATCTAGGTTACTCGATACCAAAATTGGTAAAGAAGTAGCAATTAAGTAGACGATTTTCCGTAGATTATGTCTATCTGAAAAATATATCATTTTATCATATCAAAACCCAATACTACGGTCATATTACGAATTATTTGATAACGTTTTACTGTGCTCAAGGTCAGTCAGTGATAAATATAATGTGAATCTCTACATTAAGTATACTGTAGATTTTTCTCGAGACACCTCGGCTCCTGACACCTGGCACAGTGGTCTATATTTAAGCTAGACAGTCATTAACTATTAAGAATCTTTTTGGATATAGGTATTTAACCTAACCTAACTGCTGGGAAAACACGCGTAGAAAAATATTATAAAAAAGTAGTTAGGTAGTTAATTATATTTAGATACTTAACAAGTGTGTATGTAGTACCTAAGTAGGTAGATTAAATAACACGAGGTAAATATAATTTGTATAATAATTTACGACACGACTACATTACGTGATATTCATAATACAGGATGATTTTGAACTAATTTTGAGGACAAAGGTCACTTTCAATAAGTATTGAGAACAACACCTTGGAATTATTACAATTATCACAAAATAGTACCAATACGGTACCTCAATACCTTTGTATTATTTTAATTATCCTATTAGTAGCACGTGGATATTCAGAAGCACGGGTACTTCATTGGTTTGCCATTGAAGGCATTGAGGATGTTTTCGGCCGAAACGATGGCCATTTGGTTCCTAGTTTCAGTGGTTGAGCTGCCCAAGTGTGGGATGATAACTGAAACAAGAAAGGAAAAACTTTTTAATATGAGAATTAAGTATGTTCGGCTCTGTCTGACTGATGTAAGACCTATGAGTCGTCAGATTGTGCATCAGGCAATTAGTCTACCCCAAGATAATAAGTTGGCAAAGAGTTTAGAAGTCTAGTTAAAGATTCTGGATATACCGGAGTTGCAATGGTGGGTGTGGGAACAAGTAAGATTAAATAAACTCACTTGTCCAAAAATTTTGTAAGGTTGCCAAGCTAGAGTTACGACAAAAGTAACATAACTCATAAAAAGAACAACACTTACAGCAGTTTGGCAAAGAAAGTAAAGGATGGTCGTTTGGTAGCGGCTCTGGTTGGACGACGTCCAGTCCTGCACCGAAGATTTGCTTCTCTTTCAACGCTACATACAGCGCTTCCTGGTCAACTAAGCCTGTAAACAAAGATTTTAACAGATAATATTTCTTGTTATAAGTTAGTAGGAAATACCCAATATATAATAATTTCTATAACAATATGCAATTGCAAACTTTCGAGAGTGGGAGGATGAGAGGCATTTCAATCGGGATTATGCAAAATCGTTCAAAAACTAACTGCTAGTATGATGTTCATTGATTCCAATTCTGTAATTACTTACATTATTCTTAATCCGGTAACATCTTGTAACCATTGTAACTAAGTTGTAAGTTTTGTAACGTCATTGTAAGGCCCAGAACAGACGGTGAAACGCAACTGCAATGAAACTGCAACTGCTAGTTACTTTTGAGTTGCATCTAAGTTTCTGCCATAGCGTCCGTTGAGAGACCACACATGACGCGACCAGTTTGAAACTTTCAGTTTCAGTTTTATTCATCAGAATTATCAGAAAGTTGCAGTTGCGTTTCACCGTCTGTTCTGGGCCTTAGTCTTACCTTACCGGTCGTTATGGAAAGCCTTGGGGGAGGTCCCCATTTTGCGAACTCCACATTATGAGACATCCCCGTTCTGAGAAGTCCACTTTTTGAGAAATCCCCATTAAGCTACTAAAGGCTTTGTCCAGCAGTGGACGTCATTTGGCTGAAACGAAACGAAGTCTTACCTCCTCTGCCAATGTTGATAAGCACCGCGTTTTTCTTCATCGTCTTTAAACAGTCAGCATTGATCATGTTCTTAGTCTCGGGCGTCAGTGGACAAGCCAGGATTACGAAGTCACTTTCTCTCAGCAGTTGTTCTTGGGGCACTCTTTCGGCTCCTAGGGCCTTCGCTATAAAATATATTAAATCCTAGTTAATTTAGCATGAGGGTAATTTTCAGAGAAGATTTCACCAACATAAAATGTACAATCAGATCATCCTGATCAGGTCAGGTCAGGGTGAGATCAGGTCACTGTTTTCTTATGAGAAAGACTTACTTGCCACTGCTTTAAGCAGTTTTTGCTTTTTCAAGAAATGTACAGAAACGATTCGTCCATTCCCACAGTTTCTCCAATGTTTAAGTGCTCTATTTTGGAATGGTTCATGAAGAATATTTACCTTCGGGTTTGTCAGTTCTCCCGCAATAAAGGAACTTGCCGACGTCGAAGCCCTTGAGCCTCCTGACGATGGCCTGCCCGACGCCCCCGAGGCCCACGATGCCCACGGTGCTGTTGGCTATGTCAGTGCCCAGCATCCACTGGACACCATACTTCCATTCATTTCTGCAGAAAAAGAAGTCAGCTACATGTTAGATGTTAAGATGTTATTATTGAGATGTGATACAGACCTCTTCTGCTTTTCCTGTTCTTTGGTTGGTTACTATGCTATAGCCTTGTCTTGTGCAAAATAATAAATAAATAAATAAATCTTTGGACAATTTCACACATCGCCAGCTAGCCCCAAAGTAAGCAACTTAATGCTTGTGTTATGGGTGCTAGCTTAACGGATATACTACTTACATATACTTTTTTTTTTTTTAATACATACATATTATACATAGTAACACCCAGACCCGTCACAGAAATTAAAATTCATCATTTCAATTTCTGCCCGGCCGGGAATCGAACCCGGGACCTCTTGGCATAGTAGCACGTTCTGAACCACTACACCAAACGGCCGACTAAAACATGGATGTAAAAGAAATAAAAATAGCTCCTTAGTATAAAGTCTGGGCTGTGAGCACGTAGAATTTTGTCCAATGACCCCAAGCTTCCCATCCTTATCACTCGCGCGTAATTATATTGCTGTCGCGACTGTGCGACGGGCGCCCGCAGTGAGTGTTCGAGCGCGACAGCAACATAATATTTACTCGCGAGCGGTAAGGATGGGTAGCTTGGGGTCATTGGACAAAATTCTACGTGCTCACAGACCAGGCTTTAGAGTTCTCTGATTTATGAAGGTCCATCTATCTTCATGTAACTCTACATCTTTTCATTCTAAGGTAATAATCGACAGCATCTGAATTGTGTTAATTTTAAAAGATTTATAATAAAATTGGTTTATTACGATAGCACCAATTCGGATCAAGACAATTTTGCGTCATAGAGATACGTACGTGACATACTTGTTTATCTTAGCGTATCATTTCATAAATACATAATGATGTATTCTTTTAAGCCTTTATTACATATTTTATAGTGCTTATCGCAACGCGGAGTTTTTGATGGACATATGATTTTATACACCCCAGACAGTCAAGGTCAATAGGAATTTTTTATTTGACATCATCATTATTTCTGCTAATGGCAGTTCACTCCTATCTCCCGCTTTCTTATCTATCGGTATATCGATATTATCTACACATCGCGTTTTTTGACAAGATAGAATAACGATTTTTTACAACGATTTTTTTCCATGCTTTTATAGGTAGCTGATTTCGTCCGTGCAAAACTAAGAGCGCTTTTCTGTAATCAGCGTTGGCTCTTGTCATTAAAATGAGAGATGAGTGATAAATGCACGTTGCATTGTGCAAACCTGTTTAGTTCTTCAATTCCTTCCTTGAATCTCCTGGCTGCGGCTATGATGAGCCCCAACGCGATGTCAGCCACGGCGTTATCCAGGACTTGAAGAACATTGCCCAGGGGGATGCCCCGCTTTTGTATTTCTTTTACATCCATGTTTTCCACGCCCGACGACATCGTTGTTACGGCTTTCAGTTGGGGACCTTTGAATGAAACATTGTTTTCGTTTATGAATAATTTGATATTTGTCTAAAATGCTTTAATATTCTGCGTGAGTATCCAACAATAGAACTGAGAGAAAGTAACGTCAGTTACAGATTCGTCTCTCCCTTTTTTGTTGTTAATTAATCGGTAAAGTAATCGGGAAACTGTATCTGTTGGAAATGTTTTAAATGAGCTACATTGTCTACAAGCATTGAGATTGATATGAATGCTGTTTACCATTAAACCGACTCCAGTTAAGTATGTAGTTTTTAACAGAAACAATGGTAACCAGAGCTTTTGTTGTATCGGGCTCGGCGTACTACTCGTACCTACAGGGTAGGTACAGACCCAGATATCATACCGATAAGTAGGTACTAAGTGAGTACATGAATAAATTAAGCCTAGGCGCAGACCATCGATTTTTCGACGGCCGATAGTTTAGTCGGGCAGTCATGTATGGAAGTGCGCACATTACAACGATTTGATTGGGCCGATTCTTCATACAAATTAAAATCGGGCCCAACTATCGGCCAACTAAAAATCGGCGGTCTGCGCCTAGTCTAAGAGTTTATTAATTTATGGAGAGTAATAATATACATATAATAACTTCACTAAAATTCAAAGTAACTGAAAATATTGGGGAAAACCCCCAGTTTTTCGTCCAGAACCACTTCGAAGCTAAGTAGAGTTTTAGAGGATAACATTATAGGTTCTTTTCTGACCTGCCAAATCCATAATCTCGGCGTCGAACCTGTGTCTTGTGTTCCAAATAATGCCATCGTAGCCGTTGATGTTCTTCTTTATTTCAGGTAAGCTTTCAGGTTCGTGGTCCATGTAAGGTATTACGGTCGTTTTAACTCCTCTGGAATTACGAAAATTGTTTATTTACTAAAGTTATGTGTAGGTAAAAAATATGGTTAATGCAATAAATAATCATTTTGTGGAGCTCCTTTTGAGTGGATTGTTAACTAGATTTATTTTAATGAGGATAGGATTCATAATGCCTGTATCCGGTAAAAACCGCACCTCTTCCTTGCACGCTCTACTTATGTAGGTAGACAGATAATGTATTTGTTTAATAGATATTATTACATAAAAGTCTTTTAAATACTGTAGCTGCAGCACTTAGTACATTACATTAGAGTAACATTATTAAGAGAAGAATAACTTTAAAACGGGTACTTTCAAACTTTATTTCGACTCTATGTTCGAAACTAAGTAGGATTTAAAACGCAGCATTGAAAATATATTATTTCCATGTTTTGTTAATTAAACTACGCTTAATTAAATAGTTAAAAACTTACTCCTTTTTCAGAAAATCCAAACTAATACATTACATTACAGTAACATTATTAAGAGAAGAATAACTTTAAAACGGGTACTTTCAAACTTTATTTCGACTCTAAGTTCGAAACTAAGTAAGATTTAAAACGCAGCATTGAAAATATATTATTTCCATGTTTTGTTAATTAAACTACGCTTAATTAAATAGTTAAAAACTTACTCCTTTTTCAGAAAATCCAAACCAACCTGCGGGAAAGTTTTGTTTACAACAATAACTCTTTTTAACGACATATTGATTTATAAGCGTTTTCAAAGTCAGTTTCACTTATTATTTAATGAGATAACTAGTAACTTCTGTCTACTTTGAACTAAATTTAGCAGCGGCGTGTGAGATATTTAAATTGTGTAAAAAAACACGCGTGCGTCCTCGACCGTGCGTCGCGAACGCTATACCTACACAGATACAAGTGTTACTGGTACAACACAGCTATACATTGTCTGATTACGTCATTCTTAAACGTAATTGGTGGAATTAGTTTTGGTATGATGATAATAGTTCAGTGGAGTTGTTGTAGAGTTTGTAGTAATTAGGTAGTCGGGTTGCATTTAATGAAAGGCTCATTTGGACATCACGAACAGGTGATCTCTTTATTGTATGTTATGTCATTTCGTCATTCTATCTGTGTATCAAGGCCACACATATCTGTGTATCAAGGCCATTGTTATTAATTTATTTGAATGAATGAATGAACAGAAGCGACATCTGAAGGGATATTTTACAACTAAGTAAAAAGTGTAGAGTTGTGTCCGTGGTTGCGTGCAAAGAGCGTTAGAGCGTGTCAAATCTCTTTAACGTGCTCTGATAACACCATCTTGTGTGTAGTAGACAAATAGTTTGACGCTATTGCCATCTGTCGGTGAGTAGAATAATGATAGTTCAGATTGTGTAAAAAAGAAGAGAATCAGACTTGATGACATGGCGTAGAACAGACTATCCAAGTCCAATAGGTTGATTATGACGACCAAACTAATAAGTTAATAGGGATACTCAATTAATAGATTTATCTATTGATTAAGGATTACACCTCTCGTTCTCATCACTGCAACTAAGTACTTTTTAACCAGTCTAAAAGTTTGTAAAGAAGTTAAAAATAAAGTCCAACAGCAAATGAACATTGAGTCGTAGATATAGCAGACTAACACCTGCAACGAATTCAATCAGCAGAATATCAGGGGTTCGAAGTATTGATTACCGCAATCAATTGATAAGACTGTCAGTTTGCAGCAATCTATTGTATAACCAAAGACAACTGTGCCTGAGTGGGCACGGTAAATCACTGCACGTGCTTTAATCCCATTGTTATTTATTTGGCAGCCCCGCGTTGGTCGAAGCCCAGATGCGTCGCGCTGGCACGCTGACAAGCGCGCGCGCCGCAGGTTTGGGAGCGGTGGATATGGAATTTATTTATTATTAATTGATATCAATTTAGCAATGGCTGTCCTAGTTATTTGGAACACCCAAGGTACACCACATAACTACATCACAAACTTATTACAGTTCTGCTGCCCATCTCTTCATCGACGGTCCTATGGAGCGTAGTCTCCAATTAAGAACAGGTTTTCTCCACCTTTCATCTTCATTTAGATGTGGTTCTGCGCAAGATATAAACGACCTAATGTCACTCATACCATTCATACATTATGATGTTTAACAGCTTCTTCGGCCGAATGATACGGTTACAAGGTTCATCTCTAACGAGAGCCTTAAGCATCGTTGTGTCCATAGTTCTCCGAGTGACCTGTAGTCACTGAGCAACTTTACAGGCACGTTCCACGGTTCAGCTCAAAAACAGAAGAAGTCTACCTTGGTGGACGATTGGTTCATATTCTTTTTTCTTTTTAATGAAGATAATGTTTTTCAACATTCGTCAATTATAAGTGACCATAACCATAACCATGACCATCACAGTGAAGGATGACGTTGAAAGTTCTAAAGATTTAATCAAGCGAATTTAATTACGATTGGCTAATTCGATTGTTAGTGGCTCTCCGGGGTGATTAACGTGTCTGTCATAATCACTCGCCCTGAATACCAGCGCGGGCGCCAAGTAGCGCTGTCAATATTTTGTTAATAGGCCTATCCTGGCCAATCGCGAGCCGGTGCCAACGGTGTTCCATTTGAAATTTGAAAATAGAATAAGAGATTCCTTTTTTAAATTCATCATGGAAAATTATTTCCGACCCCGAGGTCCTGAGTTCTCTAAAGAACGCAAGCGTAACAAAATGTAGAGAAAAAATCAAGTTATCGTAAAATCAATTTTCAACGTTCATAACAAAAAACAACCTTCCTTTTGGCATACAAATTAAAGAGCACTAAAGTGTAGTTTTTAATTTGTAAATTAAGGTCAATACCAAGGTGGTTATAGCATTTCTTTTACACTTGAATGTTATTAATTTCAGTTGCTTAACGTTCAATTATTCCCAACAACAATGAATATTGGACACTTTTAGAATCGTAAAAAAGCTATAATTACTGTAGGTAGATAACGGCAGCAAATTCAAATGTACTTCATTACACTATTGCCCCCTGAATGTCAGTCTGCAGCCGACGCCATCTGATGCCCGTTAAGCTTCGGCCAAACCAACGCGTGCAGCTCGCGTCGGTAATGGCGATGGCGATCACTGCGCGTGCATAGATCGCCGCGACCAATGACAGGACGTTTTGAGAACTCATCGTAAAAATTCATGCACGTCACGCCCCGATTGCGCTAATTTATAATGTCAATTTCATTCCAGCCAATGTGAAATTCAGTATCGAGGTTAAACCGTTAAGTCCCTTTAATAGGGAAATAATTGAATAAATAATTTACACATTATTATTCCTAAACGCAGCAAAGGTTTGTGAAGCGTTTGAGATAATAAGTACCTATTAGTTGCTTTTTGTCAGGTTTACAGGTAACGGCGCCTTGGACTAGCTGTCAAAACTAAACGACACCGCGTTACGGATTTGTTAAACAACTGATTTTAGGTTTAAAGAACATTTTCGTTCGTCGTCCAGTCAACGCGACTGAAAATTTTATACCGCAGTCGAGGCCTCAATCTCCACCGCCCTCGCGCACGCAGGCTGCACGCTTTGGTTCGGCCGAATCGTTACAGGTGGTTGTAAAGTAGGGAGGCACGTGCCTGAATACCACTACAATGGACGCATCTGTCAATGTCGCAGGCTACGTTAATTGTTGAGAGGTCGGTGCCACGAATTAATTAGTGGGGCAATGAAATAATGGATATTTTAGTGTTAATACTGGAGGTGCAAAGCCAAATCTTTACTAATTTTGTAAGGCTTCCAGTGGTAAGTAGTTTAGAGGTCCTGCTGCCGTACCAGTCCATAGGCGGCTTTTTCAGTTTCATAGGGCAATTTATGTTCCGCTATGTTTGTTCCTTTTTAACACCTAAAGTCCTGAATTATTTTTGATAAATATTGGTTTATCTAGGCTAGGAGATAAAACTCATAAAAAACTCATCATAGGTTACTTCAAAAAATAACGTTAATGTGATGAAATGGGGATCAGGTGACAGACCAAAAACGAGAAGCTAATCATAATAGCCAGAATTAAAGAATGACTGTCCAATTTCCACTCAAAGGTTAATAGGGCTAGACCTAAATTATTATCAGGTGAACACAACAGACTGTCTGCAACTGTCAATGAACTTGTATAGGTACGAGCAGTTCTTAGCAAAACGGCAGAGGAATATTAATTTAAGTAGAAAAGGTGATCGTCAAAGAACTTTAACAATATTTAAGCTTACATGTTTTACTATTTTAAGTACCCTTTAAGAACATCAATACTAAAGTAAAAGTACTCTGCAATAAGAACCTATGCATAATGCCATCTAATTTTGTGGGATCTACATTGAAACAATTTACGATGTGAGCTTGAATCCTTATCGAATTCCCAGCTTCCCAAAGCCAACAAATCATAAACGCCATAACAAAAAGCTTTCCACTTGACAAGTTTTCCTTCTTGTCCCCATAACGCGTAACATCCCGTTTATTGCGGCGCAGCAAACAGGCACATCTGTGCGCGGCTACCCTCGCCTGCCGCCAGCGCGGCGCCCGCCGCGGTCGATACCGAACTACTGGCTACCCTCACTGGATAGGGCGGGGATGTCGATAATGGACTGAGTGGACGTATCGATAGTCACAACTGAAGTTTGACCACCTGTAAAATCCTAAACCACGTGGCAGGTCACCTATGCGCTGGACTGACAAGTGAAAACGGCAGTGGGAGACGGCGTATATGACTGCACCAGACAGTCTGCTAACAGAGAAAGATGGCGGGAGATCGTGCGGAGAGTTGTATCCGCCTCTATAACCGATGTGAACAACGCCTCAACGTAACCACGACCGCTCTGCCAAGAGCGAAACGAATAAGAAGAAGAAGAAAATCCTAAACTGCCAGTGAAGATGTACTCGTAAGTCCTAGGGGATAGTAATATCATTAGTTTGTTGGGAAATTGTAACCAATATCTGTATCATAACTGTAACACCTGGACTAACAAGCAAGTATCTAAAGCTGGGTGACGTGATACCTAAATGCACCTAGCTCGTCAGCTTGATATAATAATGAATAGTTTCACTCTTTTCTTAAAAATTTCTTAACTTATTTACCTAGATATCCGTGTTTCTAAGGACTTCTCTCAGATAGCGCAATTTAATCAGCCAAAACGGTTCATTTTTATAACTCAAAGATTAAGGGGACGGTAACAAATCCACCGCAACTTACCAAAAGCTCAACATCCCAATAATGCATTCTTGCTAATACACCTCCCTTATCCCATCCCTACATGTCATGGAGTGGAGTCTCCAGCCGCGTGAACCACGCCGGCGACTCAATAGGTCACTTCTGGGAAGGGGCGCCAGCGATGCCAGTGTTGCCAACTTTAACGAGCTATCCGAAAGCTCACCAGATGTTCGGCTTTCCTTTTGCTTGAGCTTACCTAAGGATCATTAGCTAAGCACCATGGTGTCTTATGAGCTGATAAGGAAATGCAATAAATGATGGAGTATTGAGAAATGGAGCTATTCGCAAGTTCACCTTAGCCTTTAGCTTTCCTTTTGCTTTATACCTACGTAAGAACAGATGATTAGCTAAGCACTATGGTGACTTTAAGACACCAAGACACTGTCTTATGAGTTCTTATGTTGGGACATGGAAAAATAATGGAGTATTTAATAAAGGAGCTACTTATTTAAGGTGTATTACAACGAGATTATGACTCTACCGTGTGTAGTTTGATGTGCTGTCGTCCATACTTTAGACGTAGAACAAAGGATTAGACTCTGTGGCATGTAATGAGTCATAAATGGGTCTATTTTGCAACATTTAGTCCAATGTGCTGTCGATTGTACCTACATAGAGCCAATAAACGATAGTCAGCGTCAAAGAAAAAAAATATAGGTG